GATATGATCTTAAAACAGAATGGCATCAACTTAGTAAAGTACCAATTCACCCTAATTCACAACGAATAACTGATACTAAACGATGGGTATGTTCGTGTATTAGTTTTTTATTTAGCAGATTTTTTATCTGTAAACATTTAGTTCAACAAAGAAACACTATTTCTCCGGGATTTTTTAAAAAAGTTCATCGTCAAGGATTTTATCCGTTTTTACAATTTAATGAACAATATGATAATGCTTTTAAAGACCTGCCAAAGAATATTTTTTTAGTCGCTTTAAATGAACTGCAAGTTGAAAGTACTGCCGATCAAACCAATTCGAATATAACTCAAGACCTTATTATTAAAGATCATGTGATTCCTCAAGACTATACGACCTTTCAGGACTGTACAAACTTTCAAGACCATACAGTCTTTCAAGATCATCAAAATCACATAGTCACGCAAAGCATTATAACTACTCAAGAATGTACAATTTCTGATAATAAAAGGCTCATAGATCATAGGAAAGAAGAGCTTTATTCCTTATTAGAACGTGTCAAGGTTATTATTGACGAAAATACCCAAAGTCAAAATGCCGAAAGGTGGATTAATTCGGTTGATAAAAATTTTAATGCGTTGCGTAAGATGGTCAATGATTGTGAACAATTTAATAGGCAAAAAAAAATGCCGAATACGTGGAAGGATCGTAATCATAATACGTTCTGGATTTCATAATAACTTTGTATAATTAAAGTTAGAAATGCAAACTCGAATATAATTGTTGCTTATATTTATAAAATGGATTCTTTAATATATCGTAATATGCTAGGTGACAATATTTTTTTTCGTAAACTTTTTTTGTGAAACAGTAATATCAGTATTGTATTTCGAACTTCAAAATTGTGATACCGTAAACGTCATATCACGTGACAGCGAAATTTATTTGACTGGCGATTTAACCCTTGTTCCCTAAGGGGGTAATGTAAAACACAGAATCCAGTTGCTCTCGCCTTACCATTTTAATGTTTAGTAATCATCGTAATAAAATAATAAATTAAATATTAGCAGAGATAGTAAAATTGGGGGACTCTTCACCAACCCGGTATATTTTACGTCATACCTTCAATTGTATATATAGATATCACATGATACTTTAAAATTATATATAATCATCTGCAACGGAATACATGCTTGATATTAGAATTATATTGATGTTATTCAGTATTTCAGCAAATATTAGATATTTTTTTTATAGGCTAGTTATAGAAAATACAAGCAATAAAAATAAATGATGAAATATCAATATCATAGAAAAAATTACATATCGGAATTTCAATTGCATTTGTTATTACCAGGCAGCGAAGTATCTGGATTCAAAATTTCTATCTAAAATTAACATAATAACAAAATAAGATTTGAAATTGAAGAGTAAAGCAATAGATTATATTTGCCTATTTTCTTTAAAATCGTGCAGCTTATCGTTTGCTATATTCCAAAATTAAAAAACGCGTAATTTAAGCATAAGTTACACTAAATAAAAAACAAATTCCTAACTTTTCAAAGATCAAATAAAAAATAAATTTTCTACTAAGTCATTTTAATAAATTATAAAGATATAATAACACCACTATGGCATAATCACCTCCTAAGTGGGTTCGCCCATCGGGATTGTTTCTTTACTTAGTCTACTATCTAAATATAAATTTAGTAAACTACATTATAAAACGGCATGATAATATAAATAAGTAAAGTACGCATTATTTACCTCGATAAAATGAAGTATAATAAATAAATTTACTTCTATAGTCAGTTTCCGGATATGCTTGTGTACGATTACTTTTGATTGCTTCAGATTTAGATAGTTCAAGTAGAATATTTTCATCACTTTGCCATTTTGTAAAAATTTCGCAGAGTTTTTCTGCTGATGGTCGCTTTTCTGTTTCTTTTTCCCAGCATTCTTTCATTAAATTTATATAAAATTGTGGCGTGTTTCCTAAAATTTCTGGTCGTAAGTCTTCATCACATATTTTTATTTGAAGTTCTTGTCCAATTTTTTTGATCACAGTAAGCTAATTTTCCATACAAGATTTCCCACATAATTATGCCAAATGAATAAATATCTGATGATGTTGTGTATCGTCCTTCTTTCAAAACTTCTGGAGCCATGTATGGCAGAACTCCATAAACTCCAGTAAACTTTGTCTCTAGTGCTATTTCAGACGACATAGAAAGTCCTAAATCAGCAATATATGCACTATGCAAAGTGTCTTGTAAAATGTTGCCACTGTGTAAATCTCGGTGAATAATTTTTCGTGAATGAATTATTTGAAGATCAGATGCAATGCAATGCAATAAATTTAACTTGTCTTTCCATTTTATTTCTGGCATATGATGGAGGTTTTCACGTAAAGATCCTAAAGCAGCAAGTTTTAAGACAAGGATATAATTTCCAGAATAATCTTTTGATATTCCATAGCATTGTAAAAATGATGGATTCTCGCAATTAATACTACAATATGCCTTTAACTATAAAATTAAAAGGTATTAATATTAAATATTAAAATGTGTATTATCCTGAAAAAGCCAAATAATTTAATTAAATTACTTCTTCATGAAAATATTTTGATTTATAAAGTAGCTTAAGTGCTACATTTGTATTCAGATTATAATTTTGATCTACCCATCTGGCTTTATATACTGTTGCAAATCCTCCACATCCTATTTTTTCAATTTCTTTGAATTCATTATAAGGAATCCATGATAAATTACTCTTGTTTTCATTAAAAATTTTTCTTAAATTATCATCGATAGTATCTTCGTATGGCCCTTCATTTTTAGCTAAAAATTTTATAAATTTTAGAACTTGAAATAAAAAATCAAGTAACTGAATAAATTACCTAACGACTTAATTTTTCCTCTGATAATAATTTAAATGTAGGTATTGTAAAAAATGCATTGTATAAAATGGCAAAAATAAATTTATAATATTACTTTTGATACCACACATTGGCTTTCTCCAAGTTTCTTGTAGTCCCAATTCCATTTCGATAGCAATATCCAAGGTAGTTCATTCCCAAAGCATCTCCCATCTCAGCAGACTTCTGAAAAAGATCAAATGCTTTATGATTGTCAATTTCGATTCCAATTCCATGCAAATAACAAGTCGCAATTTGAAATATTCCATTAACATTATTCATATCAGCAGATTTTTGATAGTAAATAAATGCTTTATGTTCATCTTTTTTAGTTCCAATTCCAGTTTGATAACAACGTCCAACATTATTTATTGCGTCAGCATTATTCATATTAGCAGATTTTTGATAATAAAATGAATGCTTTATGTTCATCCCTTTCTACTCCAATTCCATTTTCGTAACAACATCCAAGATTATATATTCCACCAGAATTACCCAGATCTGCGGATTTTTGATAATAAGTAAATGCTTTACATTCATCCTTCTCAACACCAATTCCATTTTTATAACAATATCCAAGGCTGTTTGTTCCATTAGAATTACCCAGATTAGCAGATTTTTGATAATAAACAAATGCTTCTTTATGATCATCCTTTTCAACTCCAATCCCATAAAGATAACAATATCCAACGTTATTTATTGCATCGGCATTACCCATGTCGGCAGATCTTAGATAACAAATGAATGCCTTATGTTCATTCTTTTCAGCCCCAATTCCGTTTTGATAACAATATCCAAGGTTATTTATTGCACCAGCATTATCCATATAAGCAGCTTTTTGATAATAAATGAATGCTTTATGTTCATCCTTTTCAATTCCAATTCCACTTCGATAACAATGTCCAACATTATTTATTGCGTCAGCATTACCCATACCAGCAGATTTTTGATAATAAATAAATGCCTTATGTTCATCCTTTTCAACTCCAATTCCTTTTTCGTAACAAAATCCAAGATTGTATATTCCACCGGAATTACCCATATCAGCAGATTTTCTATAATACATGAATGCTTTATTTTCATCTTTTTCAACTCCAATTCCTTTTTGATAATAATATCCAAGATTGTTCATTCCTATAATACAGTAATATGGTACATTTCCGCCGATTTTTGATAATAAATGAATGCCTTACGTTCATCCTTTCCAACACCAATTCCTTTTTCGTAACAAAGTCCAAGATTAAATATTCCATCAGAATTACCCACCTTAGCAGATTTTTGATAATAATTAAATGCTTTATGTTCATCCTTTTCAACTCCAATTCCTTTTTTATAACAATATCCAAGACACACATCATCCCTATAGCGTGGCCCATTTCGGCTGATTTTTGATAATAAATGAACGCCTTGTGCTCATTTTTTTCAACTCCAATTCATTTTTGATAACAACATCCAAGGCTCTTCATTCCTGTAGCATAGCCCATTTCACCAGATTTTTGATAATAAATGAATGCTTTATGTTTATCTTTTTCGACTCCAATTCCTTTTTCGTAACAAAGTCCAAGACTGTATGTTCCACCAGCATTACTCATATCAGAAGATTTTTGATAATAGATGAATGCTTTATGTTCATCCTTTTCAATTCCAATTCCTTTTTGATAACAATATCCAAGATTCTTCATTCCTATAGCATGACCCATTTCAGCTGATTTTTGATAATAAATGAATGTCTTATGCTCATCTCTTTTAACTCCGATTCCATCTCGATAACAATTACCGAGAGAATTGATTCCATATGGATCTTCCATAGATAATAAATAAATGCTTTATGATTGTCTTTTTTGACTCCAATTACACGTTCATAACAACAACCAAGATTATTCATTCCGTTAGAATTCCCCATCTCTACTGATTTTTGATAATGAATAAATGCTTTATGATTATTATTTTTAGTTCATTTTCCATATTGGTAGCAATATGCAAGAATATTTTGAATTATAGAATTGTCTTGAACGATAGGGTTTGTTTGGTTATTTAAACATAGGTTGATTATTTCTTCTGGTTTTTTGCTGCTTATTTGTAAAATGCTGATCTATTGAATAAATAATTGAGTTTGCATAATTTCCTTTCATAACTTCTTTATTATACAAATGACATAATTCTTCAATGACTTTATTTAAAAGATCTTGTGAATTATGTAATGGTAAATCTATTCGTTTTGAAGTATTAATAACTTGATCTTGATTAGTGTTCTTTATAAATAATTCCGTTGATTGATTATTGTAAATGCCTAGTAAACTTTTTTCATTTGACATGATATGTGATTATTAAATTATATATCGAACATGAGATAAATCAATGATTTGCAGTAAATTATATAATCGCATAAATGTTTTGGTACTATGATACACCAACATAGACGTATTTTCTATTGGAGAATAAATATATTGTTTACTTAGATATAATTAATGTTTATTCGTACTACTGTATATATATATATAGTTTCATTAAAATTTAATGTTTTAACAAGTCTCTAGTAGAAAAGATTTCTTTTACTGAATAATGTCTTATTAAAGTATGATAAATCTGTTTACGTGAGATCACTAGTTAATAAAATTTTACACGTAGTGTGTTGCGCCTCAGATGTCGACTGGTCTAAGTATTAAAGATGCAGGTTCATATAAAGAAATACAACAAAGCAAAAATAACTTATTAACGCCAAGTATAGAACAGAAACTTGACCCGAACTGGGAGGAAACAAATTATAGAATGTTATTATCCACGAATCAAGCCAAGATCAGATGATTGGATAATGACGGAATGGCTGCTGGCTGCTTCGCAGTCAGTGTGCTATTTAGTCGTTACCGTCATTTGATTGTCTGATATGGGTTAGATTTTGGTTATGCTCACTTCGTGGATAATAACTGATTTATTTCTGGGTTCTTATTATACTTCTATACTATTTTTCAAAGTTTAGCTTTACTATATTTCAAAACTTTCGTTTGTCTTCCACTTTTTTTTTTTAACCAACAACTTTTACTTTTCATTAATAACTTTAATAATTTAAAATTTTATACATCATTAAAAAAAGATATACGCTTATAATACCAGGAAAGTAGTAATGAAATTACGGAGTGTATGGTTGACCGACAACTAGAATGGTTAGTGAAAAAATACCGTGTTATTATTGGATGGAAGTCAGACATGTGAAACTATTATAGAATTATAGAATTATAGAACGTGTATAAAATATGTACGTATGTATATAAATATATATGCATGAATGGGTGTGTTTTACTCATAGGGTGGGGTTCTTTTTATTGGCCTTTGAAGGTCGATTGCCCGGATAACTTGTTTATACGCCTTAAAGTACATTTGAACAATTCGAAGTTTTATTAATGAAAAATCGACACAGATATCGATAATGGTTTTAGAGAGGGTATGAGATTCCCGAATCGTTTACCACTACTCGAAATGCCTGTAACTATCAAAAAAATTCTTATAAGATGCATATATATATATACGTAGTAATATTAAAGTATTGTATATTAATAACCCAAATTTCGATTTGTAGCTTGGATAAACTCTAAAATCATGTTTTAGCTCAAATGTATATTGCAAACTTAAGTTAATTTAAAGATAAACTGTACTTGAAATGAAATGTATAAGGCAATTTTTCATGTTCTTATAATTATTGAAAAGTTCTTTACTAAACTCAAATTGCCGGTATATATCTCCTAATTATATTACGTTCCTGGTTTGAGCGCGACTACGTCGCGCAGCTACCCTAATTTAAAAGAAAATATAAACATTCTGGATCAGCCCAAATCTGAGATCTGGGCAATAAGTGATAAAAATAGTGTAGAGGTATAACTAAGAACAGGTGAACAATCAAAATTTTTTAATCCTTATCTAATCCAAATGGGTTGGTATTGATGATGTTCATTCGGACACTATGATAAATATTTAATGTGAAGCAAATCATTTTAACGTAAAATAGATGAATTTTAAGTTGGGAGATGGGTAGACGTAATAATTATATTAGTTTTATTGTTTTGGGGTTCTTTTTAATAAATGAGTCATATGGTTGACGTAATATCATGTAATAATTAAATAGTAATTCGGGGTTTT